TTCACCATCATCAACATCAACGCCATCATCATCATATTAATATTCCTCAAATTGCCAGCTTAACCAAAAAATGACTCTTCCCAAAATATGCTACAAGTACAATCCTGAGGATAAAATACTAAACTTTTAAATTTCTTAAAACCCATGAGAAACAAATTGGAGTAAAGAAGAGAAGGAAAAAAAAACCAAATATAGATATTGATTAAAGAGAGAACAAAAAAAAAAACCAATCTTGCGTAAGTTTGAACAACATCCTCCCAAAAAAGTCCTAAATCCCTTTCTTATCAAATGGCAATGCAAAAGGATAAATTTAATTAATGAGGATGATGATGTTGCTGAGGAAAGTAGGTAATGAAATTTAACGAAGACTGAAAATTAAATTATAAACAAAAAATAAAAGTAAAGAACCAAACCAAGAACATATATTCTTTTTTTCTTTCTTGCCTTTCACACTTTGCAGGTGAAATCAAGATGCAGAAGATTTACTCTTTCACTGCACCTAGATCAATCAGAAACCACAACATCAATACAGGAAGTTAGAAAAAAACCCAAGAAGAAAGTATAATTTGGAAATCAGAAGCTTACAATGAAAGATCTCAGATATGGCAACCAAAGCAATTGCAAGTTTTGGGTGTGAAAGAGCAATAACCAAAGGGTCTATTAGGGATGTTGCAGTTAATTGCATAGCAACAAGGTGAAGGCAAGCAAAGACCTTTAGCACCTCCACAACAAGTGCAAACTGAACATATCTGGAAGCTTCCAAGCTTCCTTCTTGTTTCATTCATTACCATAAACTTCTCCTCCATTAATGGCACCATTCTCATCTCTCCTTCTTTTTCAGATGGTTTTAGCTCATTTGCCTAATAATTTCCGACATAAAGTTTCAATTAAAGCCTAGAACTTGCAATCTAGTATAATGGGGAAAGCTCGAAATATTGGAATCAGCTTAGGTTTACTCAAAGAAAGATTCAATTTTTCAGTTGTATCTCGCAAAATCAGAAACACCCAAATGAAATTTAACTGAAGGGATCTAAATGGAGAGGTCGAATTGAAGAAACACACTCACCTGGAGGCTGAAAGTGATGAAGATTGAGAAGCAAAGAAAGAACAGAACAATAGAGATCCTGGGTTCTTCTAAAGCTCTCATCTTTTTGTTGAAAGAGTTTGTGGGATTTATGTGATTAGGGATTTTGGTAAAGTAGCGAAATGCCTTACCTTTTTTCTCACTTTCTTCTGCTTCTTCTTCTTCTTCTTCTTCGTCCTTTTCTCTCGAGCGAGCTACTTTTTTCAATTATTTGGTTAAACATTTATTATTTGTAGAAAAAATTTTTTTTTTTATGAAGGAATATGTGGGGTCCTTATTTAATGTTCTTTATTTGCCACTTCATTACCACACCAATATCGAATCAAAAACATGATTGAAAAACCATGTCATTGCTAACAAAACAGTTTATTCTTGTTCTTCTTTTTTTTTTTTCTGCAGGATCCGATTCCTTTGGTGACATATGCCAGTGAGGGAATTTTTTGTTCCTAAAGCTGATTTGATATTTTGATAATTTTTCCTTAGAACTTAGAACCGTGCAGTGAGCGCAACAAACCAATTAGAAGGCTATATAACCGATGCAGCCCTCGTTCGTCAATTACAAAAGAAATTAATTCAAAGGCGGAAATTTAGATAGCCTTTTGAGTTCATACTTCTCTTACAAATACAATTTCAATAGAGAGGTTGTATAAAAGTGGGATGCCTAGTTCGATGGAATATTGGACCATCTGTTCAGACTCATCTCTGAAATATATAAGAGATAAGTGTGATTTTTTGTTGTCTTTTTTTTTTTTTTTTTTAACTTTTACCAAAAATATCTCAGACTTATCTCTTATATATGAACACAAGAAAAAATTAGGCGATACTTTACAAGTTCTAAAAATATTTAAAGGGCTTACTCGCAAATGAATTTTTAAGAATTTGTTAAAAAATGTCAGAAATCTTTGTTATTGGTTAATGAATTCCAACAATCTTATTAAAATCTGTATTGGTTTGATGATTTTCTAAAGTAAAATCCACTATAATTCAAAAAGTTTGTGTTTTCAGGATTTCATGAATCCATTAAAATAAGAAGCATCTTTTTTTTTTTAATAGCACTTCATTTAATAAGAGGTCTAACAAAGGGTCACAAATACAAGGAGATGATATCCTGAAGGCATTTCTTTGCGAGAGCATCGGCAATAAAATTGTCCGATCTCGGTGTGAAATTGAAGGAGATTGAAACAAATACTTTTGACAAGATGAAGATATCGTGAAGGATACCGAAGATTTCAGTAATTTGTTCTCCTGATTGCATGGCTCGGATGAGCGTTTTAGAGTCAGATCGGAGGCGAATCGAATTCCAGCCAGAGATCTCTGCTTGGTGTAGGGCTTCACTGACAGCAATCATTTCCGCTGCGAGAGGAGATAGGACGAAAGCCTCTCCTCTTCCTCCCTGTCCGATGATTTGATTCCGTTTATCTTTTGCGATCCATCTTGTTCCGGCACATTTGTTGTCCTGGTTCCACGCTGCATCTGTGTAGAGGACAATGGCTTCCGGGTCCGTGTGGGATGGGACATAGCGAGGTTTCCCAGTGGTCGTAGTAGGTTTAGAATTCTGATCTTGTTGCCATTCGCGAGCATCCGCACAGGCCTTTGTAATGATTTCTGATGGTTTGAAAGACCGGTTTTCAAACAGCAGATGGTTCCTTGCTCCCTATACATTCCAACTGATCCAGGGGAACAAAGAACCAAGTTCAATTCCTGTCGGAGGGAGAGGTAGCTAGAGTTTAGATGCCTTCAAGACTTCCGGGTATGTTTGAGTTGGGGAATGGATGAACGGGGTTTTTGTTGGGGTGAGGTCCCAAACTTCCAACTCCCCACAGTGACGACATCCGATCCTGTATATAGGCCTCTAGCTTGTAGGCTGCTACCAAGCGCCAATTTCCAGAGAAACATCTGGAGTTTCGGAGGTATCTTCCTAAACCATATTTCTGCGTTCCAATTTATGTCCGAGGTGGGTTCCTGTTGCATCACTGATTGGAATTTAGATTCCTATGCTAGGTGGTACCCGATTTTTGTCGTGTAGGTTCCAGACTTGGTGGAAATCCATATATGCTTGTCCGACACACCCGTGAGACTTGATTTGATGCATAGGATTTGTTGTTTTAGTTCTGGGAATACTAATTCCACCTTCTCTCGGTCCCACTTGTTTGTGTCTGTCTGGGGAAGATCGGCAACAACCCAATTCACTGTTTCCTTGGTAGCTGGTCTCGTTGGTCGGGTTATAGTTGATATTGAGAGCCAAGTGTCATTCCTGATGCTCGTTGTCTTCTGATACTAGGATTTTACTATCCTAAAGCATGTATCTATCGCTGCAGTACTCCAGGTATCAATCTAATCATGTGAGATGCTAGCAATCAAGATGTGACAGAACTACTCAATTCAAGCCAAATACTTCAAGTTGTGGTGATAATGAACAAAAGAGATCGAGTAACTCGATCGAGCTAGAACAAATAAGAAACAACTGACAGTGAAACAAGTCGATCGAGTGCAATATGAATGCAATCGAGCTGAAACAATATGATGACGGATGTGAATATCAGGGAAAGATCAAGCTCCTAAGGATGGGGTAATCGACCTGTAACTACTCCTAACGTGATCTCGTCGCTTAACAAACCTCAAACACGGGCTAGATCCTAAATACTACAATTATATGCTGTGCACTTGCAACTCTAGTTGTCTTAGGGAATTATCACTTGTACTCATCCCTTAGATGCAGCGATCAGAGGGGCAATGGGGAATCATGCCTTCCGAAAAAGTTGGTGTATCTCAATTATATGTTGTGCACTTGCAACACTAGTTGTCTTAGGGAATTATTACTTGTACTCATCCCATAGACGCATCAAGTTTTTGGCGCCGTTGCCGGGGATTGCATCATAAACACTTGCATAGTCTTGTTTAAAACTAAGTCTAGATCTTGGTATTTTCGAATACTAACTTTCTTCATTTATCTTGTGTTTATAGGTACTTGGAGATGAATCACAACACCAACATCCACTTTGGGAACCGGACACTGATCCCACACGATCTCCACGGCCGGAGTTACCAAGACCCAGCCGTAAGCATCGTGCCACATCCGTTCCCTCCCAACCGCGCTCATCCACGTTTGAAGGACCTAGCCGAGACGAGCATCATTACCATCATCATCAAAACCGACCTCCGGTTTATCATCAACCACCTAGACCAGTGTTGCATTCACACCACGACCATGTTCTCAATAGGCGGAGAGATAGCCATTTCGATGCCGTGCTTGAGGGTTTCATGGAGAGCCAAAGAAAACTAGCCGCGACATTGAGACAAAGCTAGAGTTCACGCGATACGAACTAGATGGAAGACTTGGAGAACTCTCTACCCAAATAGAGAGAGTAGAGTCAAGATGCTTGGACATGGAGGAAGATTTGAAGAAGCAAGGCGAGGCCATTGAAGACAATAGGAGAGCGATACACTTTACCAAAGTTTCTACCAAGGAGATGGATAATCACTTAGATGAGAAGATCTCAAGTCTTGATAACAACCTCGATGGCACCACCAAGAGTCTCAATTCAATAACAGCAGTAGCTCATCAAGCTAAGAGGGAGGTAGCCGAAGTGACCCTAAAGGAGAGGCAATGTTACTCGACGATGCTTACATTGGTGGAAGGGCAAAAACAAGTGAAGGCACAAATCCGAGATTTACACATCTCTCTAGACAAGAGGAGCCAAGATATTCAAAGAAGAGCTAGAGGGCTTGAAGACAAAGTAGATGGAGTCTCCAAGGAAGTCAAGGATTTAACCACTCGCTTAGCCAACTTGGAAGAGAAGGTCTTGACCGAGCAAAGACGACCGTTCCTAAGCACAACCATGCCGCGCCCGTCTTTACTATAAGAGAGACCGACCCAAGAGTGATTTGGGATGAAGAAGAGAGTAGAGCTGATCAAGAAAGAGCCACAAGGCTAACCACTGGAACAAGAGAAGATAGCACCAAAAGGAAGAACCCTTACTCAAAGTCTTCACAACCGCCTCCCACCAAGGAGAAGAGGAAGATAAGATCATCACTTGAAGAGATCATAGATGATTTCAACTTTATGGCGAGGAGATTCCCTTATGGTGTGCCGTTTGATAATGCTTGCAACAAGAGTCCATTCATGCAAGACCTAGCTTGGACACAAGATTGGAGTCTAGCTGAATTGGAAAAGATGTACGAGGAAGCAAGAAAGGGGATGCCTAAACCTAGGTTTCTACACAAGCTTCATGACCCAGGTTACTTCCTTATACATTTCTCTATCAATGGAAGCTACTTTGATGATGCTCTTTGCGATTCCGGTTCTAGTGTGAACCTTATGCCGGCCGAGATAGCCAAGAAGTTGGGATTGATCAATTCAATTGTGAAATCTCGAATGGATTTAAAGCTAGCTGATTCATCATTGACCGAACCACTTGGAGAGGTTAAAGACATTCAGCTTGATTTTGGAGGCTGCATAGTTCCAGCCAACTTCTATGTAGTAACCATGAAGGATCCGGAGGACTTAAAGCTTTTGCTTGGAAGATCATTCCTAGCCACAGCTGGAGCGATCATGGATTGGCCTAATAGAAGAATCTCTCTAGCCAATGTTGACAAGGACACCTTCTACGATGCTGCACCTCCCGGTTTCTCATCCAAGCGATTTCGCTACACAAGTGGAGGAGAGTGCTCACAAGTAAGAGGAGAGTCGCATGGCTACTTGATCAAGGAAGTTCTACAGGACAAGATGCACTTGGAATCATCAGGCAACAGGAAGTTCTTGGAGCCACCAATCCTACCTAACTAAGAACACAAAGGAGTCGAGCTACAAAGACTTAAAACAAGCGCTTGTGGGAGGCAACCCACATTTTCTTATCCCTTCCTCTTTTTATTTTTTTATTTAAACTATTTATTTGTTCTATTTATAACTCTTAAATTTTTGAGAGTTTAATAAATTTTTTACAAAAATAAAATAAAAAGTGTTTTAGGAAAAAGTACCAAAAAGGAGGTCTACATGAAAAATGCATTGGAAAGCTGCACAGCCACGACTTGACCCAAAAGATTAACCATCTTTGGTCTAAGTATGAAGCATTGAGTCTAGTTTGAGTCCCACCCAAGTCCCACCCATGTTTCAAGAAGCAAAGAATCCAAGAAGGGCCACGGCACAATAAAATCCGGCCATTGGAACACTATTGCACAAGGCAAAGGTAAGTATCACTTCCATTCTTACTGTCATTTCTTTTAAACACTATCTCTATCAAATTAAACCACTACACACTACTTGGATTTCTGATCAAGATCACAAGTATATGGTTTCACGATCAAGTCTTTGATTGGGAAGTTCAAACTATTTTGAACAACTCAATCATTGACAGAGTTTAACAAAGAGTTACTAGTGTTTTTCAGATAAAATATGACAGGAAAGAACCGGTTCAAAATATCATACAAACATGGCGCGCAAAGGAGCCACAACCGGCCAAAGGAGGATTTACATGCCAAACATGAGAGATGAGGGAAATCCAACCACAATTCAATCCAGGAGGGATAGAAAAACAGTTCGGTCGAAGCAGAACTCAATTGGCCCGAGTAAAAAGGAGATATCAACATCACAACCACTCTCTCGGCCAGAATCGACGAACCAAGCGACAATGCTCGACCATCTCCCAAACGGCACGACCGAAGTCCACCAAACTTCACAGGCGACCTCAAAACATCATTTTGGTCGGCAAATCCAAAAGATAGGACGAGAAAAAGTGCCTGCTACGTGAGATAGACGAAGGAAGCTCAATACGGCCGACGGCGATGCATAGAATGGCCGACGAACTCAAAACCTCAAGAAGGCGCGAACACCGGTGGAAACTGATCCTCTGGAGTCCAAAAAACACCAAGGAAGAAGAAAGGAAGGAGACGATCGAACAGATAAGAGATGGCCAAAGGAATCACATCCCGAAGCCATTGGCGCGCACGACGAAAGATCTCCGAATCCACACGTTCAAATCGCCTCAAACTTCACAAGGAGCCACAAAACATAAGGTTGGTCGATGAAACTTCATTTCAGTACAATGAATTCCTTACAATTCAAGAGATGGCCGATGCCGAGCAAAGTAAAATGGCCGACAATCCAAATCACGGCATTTACCGCGGCCACCGGCTCAAATCACCTCCATCAAGCTCCACATCGCATCTAAAGAAGAAAATCCAGATTGGAACGAGCAGAATTGGAGAAGACCGAGGAAGACGTTCCCGGAGCCAATTTGAAAATTTTTCAAAGGAGATCTCAAACCACTCGTTCAAACGACCCCAAACTTCACCAGTCGCCATATTATACAATATTGGTCGACGAAATTTCAAGATAGGTCGAGGAAATCTTCACGGTTCGAGCTGTAGTCCATACCATCACCATCCGGTCGACCAAAACGGACCAGTCTCGGCCAAAAAGGCGAAAAACAGAAAACCAAGGGAGAATTGTCACATTCATCCAACCAAATCCAACAGCTATGATGTTTGCACCAGTCAGTTCATTCCTGGAAGCAACTAAAAGCGCACAACCGATCTTCACATCAAAGGCCAAAAATTTGGGTACAATTTTCTACAAACTCTAACTTTTCCATTCATATTTATCATTACCTCTCTTAATTGGATTTTTCTTACACCGAGACGGTGCAAGTTAAGTCTGGGGGGATTACTAACAAGTTTGTTCTTTTTGAATTTCATTGAGTCGTTTTATTGAGTCAAAATTTTGTCAAAGGATTATGACCTTATCTTGGATCTAACCATTGTTGTGCTAACGTTTAAGTGACCATTGAAGCAGTCTTGGCAATACATCTTACCACAGGGACACTATGAGTTGATCGATCTACCAAAAACGCCCACACCTCCAAGGACTTGAGAAGGATCCACTCTTGACTCCGCCCTTAATGAACTTAATCTTCTCAGCTAGGGGCTTGGCATACAAATGGCATGATTCCTCATCCTCTCCATCAAATGAAAAAGTCTTAGTGAGTTCGTGCTTCCCTCTCTCTCCCCTTCAAATTTAAAGAAAAAGCGTAAGGTCCAATAACCGGGGATTCGGTGGCAAACACCATCAATACTCGCGTCTATGGAAGGCCTATGAATCCAAGCAACCGGGGATTCGGTGGCAAACACCATCAATACTCGCGTCTGTGGAAGATCCAAGCAAAACCTCTATAATAAAGAGAAGGAGTTGAATAAAAAAATACTTCGCTACCCTAAAAAAGGGATGAGTCAACTCAAAGAAGTGAGAAGAGAGAGAGGAGAAACATGGAGTAAAAAGACAAGTGCCAAAACAAGGGGATGAGTAAGAGTCTAAAGCCGGCTGATCGATACTCCCTAGTTGAGACCACACCTTTAGAAATGAAAGGAGTCAAGGAGGGTGAATTGGATTGTCCAAAGAGAGGTGGGCCGCCTTGGAAAAATCGCAAAACTCATGGTATGTACTCTTGTTCTTAATTCAAATATTTGCCTTTACTACTTTCATGTGGATTACTAAAACCAAGCCAACCCGGATTTCCTAATGATTTGAGAGTTCTTGCGTTTTCAAACCTCTCTTCCTCTCTTAGTTTGCTTGGGGACAAGCAAAAGGCTAAGTCTGGGGGAGTTGATATACCCATATCTTTCATGTTTTTATCAAGGTTTTCACTATGTTTTTAATACAAATAATGTGGTTTTTAGCCCAAGAGGTAGTTTTCTTGTATATTCTGGTTTTGAGCATCATTCAGGTCAAAATAGCAAAGAAGAGTCAAAATGGAGCAAAAAGAGTCAAATCACCAAGTTCCCAAGTCTAGAGCACCAAATCTACATTTCTCGCTAAAGACCAAACCGGAGCATCCGAAGTACGACCGCATATTCATGCCTTCCCGACGTCCAAAAGTCATGTTTCTTATATGGAAAGATAGATATTTGAGTCATGACCCGCGGCGAAGTGGAAAGAGGTCATTTGGATCACTCGTTGGACCGGAACTTATTTTCTACCAAGACATGTCCGACGAGCGCCTAAGTAGAGCCCATGGAGACTTTGATGGATCAAGAGGCCCGAGATACCGCGCCCAAGGCCTTGGCTCATCTTGACACTAGCATAACTCAATCCAGAAGCTTCCATTGGCCTGAACGCGGCCCATTCAAGAACTTGGAGAGCAAGCTCAAGCGGCTAAAGAGAAATGGAAACTTTCCTCTTCTGCGCGCGCTCAACTTTGCCGACCTAGACCCGCTCTCTACCTATATATACTTGCTTTTAGCCTCTTGTAATAAGAATCACCAGCCGCATAACAAGAAACACTTATTCAATAAAGTTCGGAGCCACTTAGGTGGTCTCCTTCTTCTTTCTTTTCTTCTTTTGCATTTGTATATAGCTTGCATGTTTCAATTTATATAGTCTAGAAGTAGAGATTTCTCCCTAAGGGTGAGGCGGTTTAGTCTATATTCCGCCGCCTCTCTCTCTAAGGATTCATGAGACTTCATCTACTATCTAAGACTCATTGTTGAATTATGGATCCTTCCAATGAGGACGTGATATAATGGCCATCTTGAAAATCGATTGTTAAAAGGGGAAACCCTATGGTTCTCCATCTTTATTTATGCTTAATGCTTGTTGCTAGAGTAGCTAACTAGTGACTTGATTTTAGGTTGATATACTCTCCAAAAGCTTGTTATATCTCCGGACATAATATTTGATGGGCAAATCGTTTTAGGCTACGAAAGTAGACCTAAAGAGTTTTGTGAACAATCATTACTTGGATGTAATGCATGTCTCACTCTACAATGACCAACGAAAGCTGAGCCCATTGGTTTAAGAGACATAGGGGATTGGAACCACGAAAGTGGAATAATCCTTCCTTAGTGTTTTGAGTTCAAAAGAATCGGATTTTAACAAACTTTTCAATCGACTTGGCTCATGTTTTCAAAAGAGTTTTCAATAGTTCAATAATGTTGCTTGTATAGAATTGCATTGTTATTTCTTTTGCGTGTTCTAAACAAACACAAACCCTTGCATCTTTTGATTTAGCTTAGTCATTTAAACTCTATGATTATGTAATGTGTGAAATCCAATCCCTTGTGGTTCGACCCCTAAATACTACAATTATATGTTGTGCACTTGCAACACTAGTTGTCTTAGGGAATTATTACTTGTACTCATCCCTTAGATGCAGCGATCAGAGGGGCAATGGGGAATCGTGCCTTCCGAAAAAGTTGGTGTATCTCTTCTTTGTTTTCACTAGTTGTGAAAAAGAACTCCACTAGACCATGTTTATCCCAAGCTTCTTCAAAAGTGACATAGAATGGAAGTGATTTCACCTTAGCATTGAACTCTTTAAGCTTCATGGGGCTTATCTTGTTGGGATCAATGGGATCATATTGCCAAGTGTCTTCTTCTTCAGTGGGCGTTGGGCGTTGAACTTAGCCCAGTCTTTGGCTTGTCCAGCTAGTGATAGTTGGAAAAGTTGTATCTTCTTGGGGTTATCTCCAAGTCCATAGTTGTGGCAAAGCTGCTCAAAGTTGCATAGATGCTCCTTTGCACATTCTGAAGTAGAATTGTAGAAAGGATTTCTCTCCACATGCTTGATTAGCTCTTCATTCAAAACTTCAGGATGGGGTGGTATGCCTCCCCATTCTTCTTCGTCACGCTCTCTCTCCAGCTGATGAGAGTAGTGATGGTACATGGATTTGAAAGGTGGAAACCTTGCAAATCTCTTCAAGAAAGCTTCTCTAAAATCGATCCATGACTCGATTGTAGAGTGGTTCATGCTGCGCCCAATCTAGTGCTGGTCCAGCTAGTTATGTGCTGAATAGCATCATCTTCTTCTCAAAGTCAAAAACTCCATAGGAATCACGAAGGTTGTCAAAGTGATATATGTGCTCCAGCGCATACTCTGAAAACATATCATGGAATTGATCTCTCTTCACGAACTCGATCAGCTCAGGGTCAATCTCCTCTTCTGGTGTGGTTAGAAGGTGTTCTTCTTGGTGTGATGCGGGTTGGTGATATCACCATATTTTACATGATTTTACTATATAATTACCTATGTTTTCAAACGGTTTTTGCAAGATTCTTTGCCTTTAGAGGTAGTTTTCTTGTATTTGTGGGATTTGAAGTCTTTGTAGGTGAAATAATCAAAAAGGATGCAAAAAGGAGTAAAAGAGCCCTAAATCAAGATCCATGCAAGTTTCCAAGTCAAGAAGATCATTTTATCTCCAAGTGTTAGTTCTCGCTGCGCGCAGAACGAAGCTTCGGAAGTTTGGCCGCGCGCGGAGGAGTTCCCGACGTCCAAAAGTTACGATCTTGATATGGAAAGATAGATACTTGAGTCATGCATCACGTCGAAGTGGAATGAAGCCATTTGGATCAACTATGAGGCCTAGACTTATTTTCTACCGAGACATGTCCGGTAAGCGAGCAAACGAAGCCCATGGAGGATTTGGAGTGTCTAATGGCCCGAGCAGCAGCGCCAAAGGCCTTGATCGAATAGAGAAGAGGCCTGGCTAATGTTTGGAGCTTTCCTTGGTACAATGTCGGCCCATACACGACGTGGAGAAGAAGGCTTTGCTCGCGGGAAACTTTCCTTTTCCGGCATGAAGAAAACCCTACGCGACTTCGCCCATATATACATGTTTTTAGCCGCTGAAGAAGAGAATCGAGTCCAGTCCGAAAATTATCAAAGAGTTACGTGTGAGAAGAGAGAGAAGAGAAGAGAAGCCCTAGGAGATCGTCCAAGAAGAAGGAGGCGCCGCTCAACTCTTGTTCTTTCTTTTTCATTGTTTCCATTTCTATAAACTTGATCTTAAGAGTTTTCAAGGGAGAATCCGACTTTGTTCATCAATAGAGAAGCTTTCTTCATCCCTTTATCTCTTTTAATACTTGCATAATGTTTACAATCATGCTTTGCTTGCTTGTTTGCATCATGGCCGAGTAGATCTCTTAGTTAGGCCGAGGAGATCTATGGTGGCCGTGATGATTTGATTGTGTTGCAACTTATTGGGATTTATCTTATGGATCTTCACCTTTACTTGAGCTTAATGCATGATTACTCTACCGTACATCTAGTAATCTGATCTTAGAGAAATAGAACCACGACAGTGCTGAATCTAGATCTCAAAACTAGTATTTGGTGAGCAATAGATCATAGCCAACGAAAGCTGAGTTATGGTTTATTGTGAACAATTGAATCTTGAACCTTGTAATGCATGTTTGCAATTCTAATAGCCAACGAAAGCTGAGTATATTAGGTTGTTTTAAACATAGTGGTTGGAGCCACGACAGTGGAAAGACCATACACTAGTGATTCATGTTCAAGACGGCTCTACACACATCCCATGCAACTATCTTTTCATCATTGCTCCATATGATTGTCCTTTGCCTAACTCTTGTTTTAAATTGTTTACAACTCACTCACATTTCTTTTGTTTTGTTTTCTCATTCTAGGTCCAAAACCACCTCATATTGCGAGCTAGCTACAAACCAATCTCACAAGGTGTTAAGTGAGAACACTTCCTCCTCGTGTTCGACCCCGACTACAACACGGCTGTGCACTTGCAGCTCATTAGTTGGGTTTATAAATTGTGAAAATTTGAGGCAATCTAAACCCGCCATCAAGCTTTCTGGCGCCGTTGCCGGGGAGGAGTTGCTTTTCCTTCACACCTCTTGATTTGTTTCAAGACTAGCTCATCTCATCTTTCACTTTTCTTTGTTTTTGTTTTTCATAAAATCTTAAAAACCATAAAAATTTTACTTAACTCTCTCTCTTTGTGTGTTTCTAAGGTGCATGACAAGAAGGTCCAATCCAAATACAACCATTGAAGAAGATCTTGACATTGACCAACTTGAGCGCACACTTAGGCGACTAAGGAGAGAAAGAATGAATCCAGGCGGAGAAGGCGCGCCAAATAGGCCAAACAACCCGCCCGACCAAGAGAGGAGAGCCAATGATCCTCCTAATCCAGCAGAAGCTAGAGCTGACCAGCCAGCACCGGCCAGAGACGTTCCTCCACCCAATCCGAACGCGCCCGATGCAGCTGAGCCGCTACAGCCACCTCTTAACCCGCCGCGACCACCACCGGCGTTTGCAAATGGACATCATCGTCACGGTGACAACCAAGGGATGCCTCAAGACCAACCTCACGCACCTCCAAGGAGAGTGCCAAACGCGCAGCATCCAAGGCACCAAACTATGGGAGACTTTGATTCGTCCGATGCCTTCTTTATGGATCGGAATCCAATCCGACCGCCTCTACCTCCAAGGAACGATTTTGAGATCAAACCGCAGATCATTGCCTTGGTGAAGCAAAACCAATTCCATGGTTTGCCCACTGAGCATCCTCTTGATCACGTCGACACCTTTGAGGAGATATGTAGCACAACTCGTGTTAATGGAGTATCGCCGGATTACTTCAAGTGCAAGCTATTCACTTTTTCTCTAAGTGACAAGGCGCTAAGATGGGTAAAATCTTTACCACCTCAGTCCATTACAACATGGAATGAATACAAGGGAGCTTTCTTGAACCAATTCTACACTAAGCAAAGATCCAACTCTATAAGGAGCAAGATTTCTGGTTTCAAGCAAGATTCAATGGAGTCATGATGGCGGGTTTAGATTGCCTCAAATTTTCACAATTTATAAACCCAACTAATGAGCTGCAAGTGCACAGCCGTGTTGTAGTCGGGGTCGAACACGAGGAGGAAGTGTTCTCACTTAACACCTTGTGAGATTGGTTTGTAGCTAGCTCGCAATATGAGGTGGTTTTGGACCTAGAATGAGAAAACAAAACAAAGAAATGTGAGTGAGTTTGTAAACAATTTAAAACAAGAGTTAGGCAAAGGACAATCATATGGAGCAATGATGAAAAGATAGTTGCATGGGATGTGTGTAGAGCCGTCTTGAACATGAATCACTAGTGTATGGTCTTTCCACTGTCGTGGCTCCAACCACTATGTTTAAAACAACCTAATATACTCAGCTTTCGTTGGCTATTAGAATTGCAAACATGCATTACAAGGTTCAAGATTCAATTGTTCACAATAAACCATAACTCAGCTTTCGTTGGCTATGATCTATTGCTCACCAAATACTAGTTTTGAGATCTAGATTCAGCACTGTCGTGGTTCTATTTCTCTAAGATCAGATTACTAGATGTACGGTAGAGTAATCATGCATTAAGCTCAAGTAAAGGTGAAGATCCATAAGATAAATCCCAATAAGTTGCAACACAATCAAATCATCACGGCCACCATAGATCTCCTCGGCCTAACTAAGAGATCTACTCGGCCATGATGCAAACAAGCAAGCAAAGCATGATTGTAAACATTATGCAAGTATTAAAAGAGATAAAGGGATGAAGAAAGCTTCTCTATTGATGAACAAAGTCGGATTCTCCCTTGAAAACTCTTAAATCAAGTTTATAGAAATGGAAACAATGAAAAAGAAAGAACAAGAGTTGAGCGGCGCCTCCTTCTTCTTGGACGATCTCCTAGGGCTTCTCTCCTCTGAACTCTCTTCTCACACGTACACTCTTTGATAATTTTCGGACTCTACTCGACTCTCTTCTTCAGCGGCTAAAAACATGTATATATGGGCGAAGTCGCGTAGGGTTTTCTTCATGCCGGAAAAGGAAAGTTTCCCGCGAGAAAAGCCTTTTGCTTTGTTTTCTCATTCTAGGTCCCAAAACCACCTCATATTGCGAGCTAGCTTAAGACCAATCTCCAAAGGTGTTAAGTGAGAACACTTCCTCCTCGTGTTCGACCCCGACTACAACACGGCTGTGCACTTGCAGCTCATTAGTTGGGTTTATAAATTGTGAAAATTTGAGGCAATCTAAACCCGCCATCAGTTGGCTAGATGTCTCCAGGTCAGCTGCTTCAAGGTAAGGAAGAAGTTTCTTCTTGTCTTCAAGGAGGATAGTTTTGGAGGACTATCCCAAGAAGGTGGTGGTGCTTGAGGGCTTGACATCTCTTGTTCGCTCAAGAGGTTCTTTGAGGTGGTATGTGGCGAAGTGGATCGCCTTTATAGGGGAAGAGGCTTGTGGCTCCTTCTCCATATCTAACTAGGAAAACCTGAAAAGCTCAAAAACAAAAAGGAAAAACAAATCAAAGAAAAAAGGAAAAATAACAAAAACAAAAAGGAAAAGATAAAACCCTAGACTAGCTCTCTTGCAAGAACTTGTAGGTGCGAATTGGTCCCCGGCAACGGCGCCAAAAACTTGATCGCGGGATCAGGTCTTCCCCTTTCCTATCCCTGATTCTGCAAGTGCACAGGTCAGAAGTAGTAAACGGGTATCGAACACAAGGACCAGATTGCACACTACAAGTTATGAGTTTGAGATCAAGCTAGGGCAAAAGTATAAGTTGGTTGAGTGCAGAGAAAGTAAAGCATGCAAGTAATAAAAGTGAGAATTCAATAGGAGAGAAAGGCTAAGCAATAGGATAGTCTTGAGATAAGCAATTCAAGAAGCATGAAATCAATCAATTAGGGTTACCGCACTTAGGTGCTAATCTAGAACTTGAAACACTATGGTATGATCATTCCACTGTCGAGGCTCCGACCCCTTTGTTAATCTACCTAGTCGCTAAACTTTTGGTATGTCCCTAGGTGATTAAATCAAGCATTAGTTCGATAAGATCAATTGTTCACAACCTACAAGTAGATCAACTGTCGCAGTCTAAAAGAGATTGCCCACCAAATACTAGTTCAGGCGAATGATACAGCACTGTCGAGGCTCAAATCAACCTAAAGGCATATGCTAATTGGCCAGATTAACAACAAGCATTAAGTATAAGCAAAGATGGAGATTATAAGTAAAACCCTAATTGTGATCAATCATCAAGCATACATGAATGCTATCCTTTGACTTCCTATCACTTAACAAGTAAACTACTCAGACATAGAGAAGGAACACGAATTCATATTCATAAGAACAGAGATTCGAATCCTCTCTAGAAAGAGTAACAAGCAAGAACAAAGTAAAAGCAAGCAAAACTTTATTAAGATGTAAAATAGATTGTGGTCTCTCTCCTTCTTGAGTTACAAGGCTAAAAAGAAGTATTTATAATGCTCTAAGTATGAAAGGCGGCTAAACCTAATCTAGCTAGGTCGGCGCCGGCTTTGGGCTTGAATTGTGCGGATTGGGCTTCAAAAACGGCTTCGGGTCGACCGCGGCGTTCGGACGGTCGGTCGGGACGGTCGGCCGGACAGTCGGGTCGTGGCCGAGTCGGAACGGTCGTGGCCGGATGATTTCACGGTCGGCCGGCGTGGTCGGACGGATGAGATTTGGCCGATGGTTTCTCGGCCGGACGTGGGACGTTCTTTCCCGGCTCGGACGGATGCATCGGCCGTGGTACGCGAGGGTTGCGCGGCCGCGAGGCTTTGTTTCCCGGCTCGCGCGGCATGGTCGTGCGCGGCTGGCGTGACGGTTGTGCTTGGCCGACCGCGGGACAATGTTTCCCGGGTCGTGTTGCGTGATCGGCCGAGCGGTTTGGACTTTGGCCGAGACTTCAGTCGGACGGAACGGTTTTGGCCGAGCGCGGAACATCGTTCCTCGGCCAGCCGGACTGCGCGTTGGCGCTGATTCTCGATATGGCCGTCTGGAGCAGTCTTCACTCTTTTGGCTATAACTCCTTTTCTACTCATCCAAATGAAGCCGTTCCAGTTGCGTTGGAAAGTTAACTCAATCAGAGCACGCAGGGAACTGGTCTTGATGAAATCCATTGAGTAGATCTTTTTCTAGCTCCATCCAAAGTTGATGCAGGGGCATTGAACTGGTTTAGAGTCCAAATCTCTGTTTTGCTCCATAATGCACCTTTTTACCTAAAATGACTCTTTGCACTATAAATCCATAAAAACTACCTTTTAACACAAGAATCCACTAGAAAACCATTAGAAAACCATAGTAAAATAGCATAAAAAGTAGGTAAAATAGAGGTATATCACATATATCAGAACTCAAAAGAAATCTGAATACAACTATTGTTCGAATGTAAAATGATAGATAGTCTCAAGGAGGCGCACCTTTCTGGTTTTGATACCGGAGAAAAACCCTCGAGTTTTAGAAAATGCAAAATAAAATAGAAGGGATAAATCCACTGAAACAAGCACTGGTCTGCTCCCTCAATGGGCCGGATCGAATGCGTCAAACTGTGGGCCTTCTCACTTGACTCTGATTCTGTCTCTCAGGTTGGGCTCCAGCGTAACCTCCTCGAGCTCGATCACGGCACTCGACCTCATCTAACTCAATCACTTTGATGTTTGATAGCGTCTGCGCGACCACATCTACTCTGTCACTCCAGCTCTGTCACTCCAGCTTCGTCACTCCAGCTCCGGAAAATACCTAAAACTGACACAAATGTACAAGATGCAACAATGCTAGTCCTAAATACACTAAATGCGAACTATGAGTGAATATGAGTGAAAAGCAATACAAATGAGCGGTTATGGATGCAAAAAACATATAAAATCGAGTGCTAAAAATATGCAAAGTATGAACACATCATCTTCCAATCACCAATACCTTTCCCAGGCTCTTCTTCAGTAAGTCTCTTCCGATTAGGATACCACCCAGCCATGCGAGGAGGCAGATTGGAGTGGTACATCTAGGAAAGGTTGATGTTGACAGTACTTCCCCATGAGGATACGTGCAAGTAGGCATTGGGGGGTTTGAGTGAATTCTCCAGTTGAGTTTAGTGATGCGGGATCAGGTTTTACCTATTCCTATCCCTGATTCTGCAAGTGCACAGGTCAGGTGTAGTAACGGGTTATCGAACACAAGGAGCAGATAAGTGCACTACAAGCTATGCAAGTCTAACTTAGCTAGGACAAGATGAATTGGGGTTTGGTATGCAAAAGAACTAAACTAAAATGAAAGCAATAAAACGGTGTAAGTTCAATGTGGGAAAGACGCTAGGCAATAGGTAATTCGCAGAGATTCATATATGATAAGATTGATGATTGATTTATATCTATTTAGGGATATGGGATGTAAGATCCGTCTAGAACACCAAACACGATTGTAAAACCATTCCACTGTCGAGGCTCCGGTTCCTTTGTTAATCTACCTAGTCGCTAAACTTTTGGTATGTCCCTAGGTGATTAAATCAAGCATTAGATCGAGCAAGTTCGGATACAGTTCACTAGGTTAAGTAAATCAACTTTCGCAGTCTAAGAAACCTAGCTTGTCAAAGAATATGTCCGGCGAATGATACAACACTTTCGAGGCTCAAATCAACCTAAGATCGAATCACTAGATGTACGGTAAAGTGATTAGCATTAATTAAGTGTGCAAAACGAGACAAAGACTCTAATGATATCCCTAGTTAATTCATCAAATCATAATCAACACATGAACTCTTTGAAACCCTAAAACCTAACTAGAAATCTACTCAAACATGGTGCAAGTAAACAAGCATAGATCTGAGATAGAAATCATATTAATATAAGGAGAAAAGGGTTTAGAAAGCTTCTCTATGTCGAGATACAAAGAAGGGATCTTCTCCCTAAGGAAAACAATGAGAAAGAAGTAAAACAATGGAGATCCCTCTAAGGGGAGCTCCCTAGTGCGCCTCTCTCTTGTAGCTCTTCTCCTGTGTGTAAAGAGGCTATTTATAGTGCCCTAGGTCTTCCACAAGTCGGTTTAGGTTAATTGGGCTGAGAATAGTCAAAACTGCATAAGTGGGCTTCTTGTTCGCGGAGATCGGGTCGACCGTGCGGGATGTGGTCGGCCGTCGGGGTCGGCCGTGATGTGATGTTCTCGGTCGATCGTGGTCCATTGCCTCCCGGCTCGGACGGTGCGGTCGTGCGGCCGGATCGGTCCTGGAGAAGGCCGAGCGAAGCCAATTCCCTTCCTGTCCGGCCGAGTGCGTTCGGCCGGCTGTGGACCAGTCTTCAGTACAAACGTGATATCTCCTAAACGGCTATCCAAATTGCATACTTCCAACGGCATTGGAACACTAACTCATCTGGCTATCTTGGTGTTGAGTTTCATTGAAATCCATTGAGTTTAAGGGTCCAAGCCGCTGCTGCTCGTCTGATGTACTGATGCAGTCCGATAAAGCTCCTCGTATATGTCTCAGGGAAATAGAGATATCTCCCAATCTACTCGGTCAAATTGATTGATTCCAGTTGCGTTGCAAAGCTAACTCACGTATGCATCGCCTCGAACTGGATTTGATGAATTCCATTGAGTAGATGTTTTTAAGGCCCTTCTTAAGTTGATGCTACGTCTTGGAGTGGTCTTGAAGTCCAAATCTGTGTTTTGCTCCAAAATGCATCTTTTGACCTGTTTAGACTCTAAGTACTATAAATCCATAAAAACTACCTTTTTAGATCAGAAAGCCATTAAAAACCTTATGAAAAGCATAGTAAAACCATATAAAAAGCATGTAAAATAGAGGTATATCATTTAGCCAGGAGAGCATCATCTACTGCTTGGATGTCCCTAAAGCCGAGGCCACCGTCCTTTTTTTACTTTGTAAGTTTGGACCAAGCGATCCAACTCATCTTCTAAATAAGGAGCATCTTATGGCCAAACACTACAAGAAAAAGGGGATATTGTTACGATTTTTTCAGTCATAATAAGCATAATTTTGTAACAATAAAATCATAGTGACGGAAAGGTGACGATTTGTTATTGGTAGCAATAAAGTCATCACAAATATTATTTAGTAACAAAAACGTCACAGATTTATGACTAACATATTAAGTTACTATTTCGTCAGCACGGGTGACAAAAACCAAAAGTAACAAAACAGTCACAGCTAGTGACTACTGACATCGTAACAACGCCGTCATATAATGTGACTATTATAAGGTCTCTATTATGTCACTTATTATGACGCAATTATAGTCCCAATTCGTCACCAATAGTGACTAACGTCTCGTTGCTTAATCGTCACACTTAATTACTAAAACTTAGTCCTTAAATTGTAAACAAATGTGACTATTACAATGTCTCAGTTCTGTCACTTGTCTTGACGAACGTGTAGTCACAAATCGTAACCAGTATTGACGTAAAAATGTCACATTTTCGTCTAAATTATCAAGTGATTTTTTTTTATTGATTACAAAATTCTTTTTAGAATGATGCATGCATTAACCTTTTAATTTTTTTTTACTAAAACGTAATATAATCTATAAATAAATTACCAAAAACAAATATTCAATATAAATGTGTCTTCATTGAAAAAAACATACATAGTCTAAAGCCATAAGCAACCAAACTAAAGTCATGCTACATAGCATGACCATACAAAGTAAAAAAACATATTCAATAAAACAAGAAAACAAACTAAAAATCATGCAAGGAAGTTTAAATAAGTGGAGAAGCAGAAGTTCATGGAGTAGCAGGTTGACTCGTTGAGCTTGACCAACTTCTCCACACCTTCGACTCGTTTCTGAATCAGAGCATCTTGAACTTTGGCATACGAACGTGAACCTGATCTGTGTCGATGTGGGCCGTAACCATCATGATTAAACAGTCGAGCAGAACGAGATTTCTCACTTAATTCTTTGGCTTTTGGTGTGCGCCAATAATCTAACATGACTCTCCAATCTTCAGTCAAAATCCAATCAGGTTTTACTCTTTTGGATTTTGCAAGGCTAACCATTCTTTTGAGACGTGTAGCAGCAAGGTCATCAAAGTTGGCTTTAACAATATGTTCGACTGAGACATCGCACTCATAAATTGTCTAATATACATAATATTATTAGTCAAATAAAGTAAAAAATCTATTACTAATAAAAGTTGAGCCTATATGCATTAGAGGCTGTCCACCTAGGATTTAAAAGGTTGAATTTGATTGGTCCATGTCATTATTTTTTTTTTTTGCTTTTAAATTAATTTATGTAAATTTTCTATTTTACATATTATTTATTAATTAGTTTTCAGTAAAGATAATTTCTCTGATTTTACAATTTTCGAGAACTGAATTATAAGTTTCCTATTCATAGATTATCTAAATTTACATATATTATTAGTATTAGTTTCTTTTTTAGTGGAAAATTTACACATGTTTTAAGTAATTATAGAAATAAATTTCCTATTCAGCCAAAAAGATGCTATGGTGTAGCGGTTATCACAATTGTCCTAAACGCAACAGGTATTGAGTTCGATCCTTTGCAGTCCCCTTTTTTTTTTAAACCGTTTCAAAAATAATTATATGGACATTGCCATTAGGTTACCACAAAAAAAAAAAAAAAATCAGACATCGGCATCTCCAAAACGGGATCTGCTACATCTTCTTCCCCTTTTTTCTACAAACCCTAAAACTGCATCTCACAAAACTCTCTCTCTCTCTCCACCGTCAAACAACAAAAATTCATTCTTCATTTCCCAGATTTCGTAAATCGAATTGGATTTATTTTGCCCTAAACTCCCTATTTCGCATTGTTGCAAGTTTGAAGCTTCAGTACAACTTCAGTTGAGGGAGTATTAGACCAAAAATGGAGAAATTCGGAATCTATTACTAAGATAAGTCTTGTGATTTGACTGTACAATTCGGCTGCTTTAATTTCTGGCGAATTAAGATTGCTTCTTGGCATTTTTTTCTTATTTCTTCTTCCAAATTTATTTCTTGGTTTCATTATTTCGTTTTAGTCTAGAAGATTCTTGAAAAACAAATTGGATATTGTTTGATAAAGATTAGGATTTGGATAGTTCCTATTTTTGTAATTATCACTTCTCTAATTTCCTTATTGTACAATGACATTGATATACATTGATTCCTTTTTCCATTAGGAATAAGATGATCTTAAATCCTATATATATGTGGTCTTATTGCCACATGAAACCAAGTTCAGAATATACATTCACATCTCTCAATCGATTTTTATAAGCCATGGCAAATTCATGCTCTTCTGTTTCTAATCAGTTAAGCCATACTTTGGTTTTCGATGATCTAAAAAAAGGTTTCAAAATAATGATTTGCTTGTCAGAGTCATCCACTTTTGGGAGGCACGAAACGTTAGAAAAGGCGGATTACTCATGGGTGTAGAACTCCTTCTCATGGATCAGAAGGTACTTAATCAAAGGATTTTAAAGAAAAAAATTGAACCTGAAGGCTAAGGACGTTTGATCTCTGTAAAAACAAGAAAACCAAACAAAAAAGGGGTAAAGTCAATGAGAAGAGATTTCAAATATTATTAAAAACGACCAGTGAAAGGAGAAAACGCTCTAAAACTCGACAGCTATAAGTCTCAGGAACTTGCCAAAGCAATTGCCACCACCTAGAGTTATACATTTATCACCAATTCGCATCCGGACAATTAGATTACAAACAAAATACACCATTTGGACATCAGCAAAAAAAGATTGAAAATACGGAAAATCATAACCTTCATCGAAGCCATTAGCTGAGAATCAGGAGAAGAAAGAAGCATCGAAACTCAGGGAAGGGGATGATGAGATGCCAAGAACAGTGATTTCGATGACTTTAAAACGAAGTCGTTGACTAAAGCCATTGAAGAAAAGTTGTGCTCCATATGAACTGAAAACAAAACCAACGAGATATTTCAAATATCAAATTGATAGCTAAACCGAACCGAAACAAACATAGACTGATTAAACATCAACAAAACTAGCAAACACCGAGAAAACCCAAAATTTAACTCGGTGACGTTATCGAAAATCATTTGACCAAAAAATCAAACCATCAATCGGCGATAAAGGGGAAATTCGAGATTGGTACCTAAGTTAATTGAGAAATTCAGAGCGAGAGTCGAAGGAGATCGAAAAGAAGAAGAAGCGTGAGCTCTCCCCTGGTAATAACAAGATTAGCAACAAAGAAGAGGGATCTAGATGATGAGATGGTTCCGGTGGGAATAAGGAAGAAGAAATATTGTTCGATTGTGGTCGGCAAATGAAAGAAAAAGAAACGAAGCATTTCTAATTTCTATGAGATAGGAAAATCGAACCGTAACAAACCAAAAGAATTTAACCGGGAATTGGAAAAACAATTAAAAGATGATGACCACGGGAAGAAGAAGAAGCCATATGATATGGAAAAAGTGGGAATACATTTAACACGATTATATCATATGAAACAATTAAAAAAAAATTATTTTTTACTCCTGATCTTTCTGATTCCTTTCTTCCCGTCCTTAATGATCTGTAAAATACATTTATATTTTATTTTATTTTCTAGATATAAGACTTTTAAATATAAAAACAGTGATTTAAAAATAAAGAGATGAATTTATTGAATGGAATTAAATGCAACATAATTAAAATTACAAAAAAAATTAAGTATAAATCATAAATTCATAGCTGGAAAAGCTAAACAAATAAATAAAATTAAAAAATAAATTAAGAACTAAAATATGTATTAGACTAATATTGGATAAGTTTGCCAGATAACCTTTATTGGATATAAAAAAAATTGTCTAATGAATAGTAAAATTAAGGGATTAGTTTAAGAAATTTGAGGATTGGGCTGTTGTATGTTTTTATGACAAAAAAGATTTTTAAAAGGTATCTTACTTATTATGACTACTTATGAAAATAATTAAATTGGTTAGGTAAAAAAAATTAAAAGTATATTACAAAAAAAGTTTATTAAAAAAAATTATAAACAAAAATTGAAAAATAGTGAAGCATTTTAAAAATCTTTTTTTAATAAATGAAACTATTATTTTCATCTCTTATCAAAGAAAAAAAAAAATTGATGACTCGAACTTGATATACAAATATTCTTAATTGAATCATACATTTTCTTAATATTATTGAATAAAATTAAAATAAAGAGGACATAAGATTTATTTACAAATATTAAAACGGAACCCGCGCGTGCGCGGGTAAAACACCTAGTCATTCATAAAAGTATACAACAAACACATAATTTAAGCACACCTTGAACGTTGAATACCATGCAGCTTTATAAAATTGGGGCACTCTTTTCCAGCTGTACCATGGTCTTTGAAACACCCTTCAATGGTTTTCTAACTTTCGTTGACACTTCAATGTCTATTCCAAACCTGTTGCAAAGGTAATTAAACTGATGATATCAATATTTTATTTTACTTTTCTGTATATGTTAAAAGAAAACAATACCATTTGGCTCCATTCTTTCGAGATGGGTGGAGCACTCGACCATTACGTGCTGCAAGTGCAGCTTGTTCCCTCTCCCTCTGTGCAACTTCTGCCCTCTCCCTCTGTGCAGCATCTTCCCTCTCCCTCTGTGAACCTTTTGCCCTCTCCCTCTGTTCATTTGGTTCAGCAGAATTGGCAGGGTTTGGATTCATAAATCCAAGGGAATGAGATCTTCTGGAACCAGCATGATTGGATGATTCTACTTCGTACAAGCTTCCGCCGATGAATGGGGACGCATCTGTAATTGAAAAGAAAAAATATGAATAAGACTCCCTGTTTTACTCGGAACAAGAGACATGAATACCAAAGATAATATAAACGAAAGACAAAGGATTAGAGACATGAATCAGACCTTGAAATCACTGGTTGTGGAAAATCAAAAACCTAAGCGGGCGATGGCTGCGTCTGCTAAATAACTAGGGTAAACCATGAAAGATGGATATAACTCACTTTCTTTATATATTAGGTGAATTTTTAAGGTATTGGTGACGCTTAAATTTTAGTTTAGTGAAGCGCATAAACTTTAATATTTTTAACCGGGATTTTTTCCCTCTATCTTGACCACAAAATTTGATCTTCCCTCTACGAATAGAATATCTTAATTCCAGAACAAACATAATTCTATAAATAAATATTATAAATTTGGTAATAATTCCATTACGAGCAATACTTTTTTTATTTGACAAAATTTCATTGAAAGTCCTTCTAACAGTCACCTTCGGTTTGATTAATATTTTTTCGTTCACGTTCAAACTCCTATAGACAATCAAACGAGTCAATAAAATGGCACATAAAAAATTGAGATTTCAAAATCGTAAGAGCAACTTTTAAACCAAAGGAAAATGAAAAAGAGTACATGTTAATTATGAAAACGGAAAGCACAAAAAGAAAACATAAGAGATAGAAAAGGGTATATCCATCTAAATTGTAAGGATAGCTTCATAAGACAAATGAATTGCTAAATGTTCCATGACATAAAAAAATGATGGAGGAAATATTTTCTCCCAATCACAAAAACCGTACTAATGTTCTTCTGCAATATAGCAACACTGTTTTTATGTAAAGATTGTGCACAAAGTCCCGAAAAAATAAGCTAACACCTACAATATCACGATATGAAAGTTATTTTCATAACGTTCCACAGGCCGAGTACGTATCATGTTACTCGATTACTTCATAATAGAATAAAATCATCAATAAGACAACAATTTGTAAATCACGATACAGAGGTCTATAAATGAATAGAAAAGTGCCAATTTATAGGTAAAAAAGAGAGAGATTGAGATCAAACCATCGATATAAGATTAATCAAACAAAACTATTAATAATGATCAAATCATAGGAAATCGCAAGAATTTTCAGAATCTCAATTATAAGTAGGAGTCCTATTCCAAGTAGGAGACCTATTCTATGTAGGAATCATATTCCAAGTAAGATTACTATTTGGATTAGAATATTGATTTTAAGTAGGATTACTATTTTGATTAGAATAAGCTTTGTCTTACCCTCTATCGACTAAAGATTATATCGCTAATTTAGAAAACCAAGAGGAAAGTATACATTTTTACATCTAAAAAAGTAAACTCTATATATATTTTTTTTATAACAAAATAAACTGTATGATTATGATTATATTTTGATAACTATCTCCTAAATATTATGACTCAATCAAATATTAGAAACATTATTTTTTCATTGAGACGGTTTTGTTACATTTTTAGTTACAATTTGTAACGTGTTTTTAATTTGTACTAGTTAATGACTAACATTTAGTCATTTTTTTCGTTATAAATTGACACTGATTATTCATCACAAGTTCGTAACAAAGTTGCTACTATACTTTGTCACAATATTGTCATAGTTGTTACGATGGTTACTACGGTCACAATTTCGTCACTAACGGTGACAAACTATGGTTACAAATTAGAACGTCCCAAAAATTGTGACGTAATAGCTACCTTTATGTTACATAATTTTTTTTTTTTTTTTTTTTTTTTTTTTTGTCGACAGCATAAGTTCCTAATTCGGCACGGGAAGCGTGACCGGTGGAACTGTGTTTACATAATACACGTCATAAGGCTGATCTCGAGCACTCCGTGCTAACTTGTCCGCCTTCGTGTTCTTCGTTCTTGGGATATGAGTTAGAGAGAACGCCTGGAAACTCCTTTTGCACTTCTCCACCTCTTCAAGCAAAATCGCAAAAGCCGGCCAGTCCTGAGGTTTTGACACCATGGTTACCAACTCTGAACAATCTGTTTGAAAATTCATTTGCCTTTTGTTGTGGGTTAGCATACTTTGCATAGCCCAAACTAATGATTCCAATTCTGTCTGCAGAGGTGATAAACCTCGCCGTAAATTACATGAGCCCACCAAGATTGAACATGACGCGGGATCAAAGTTATACCAACCAAGACCCGCTCGACACTCTGTGTCTTTCCATGCTCCATCTATTTGGCACCATTCACCCTCGATCTCAGTCCGTGGATATGAGACCCTAGCCATTGGTCCAATTATTTCTCCCGTTTGTGCAGTAGCCCATGCACGTGCTTCTGTTATCGCTGATTCCAGAACATCCGGCGGATCATGGTCATCATTTGAAAAGACTTTATAATTACGTGCTTTCCAAATGAACCATAATAACCAAGGAAATATGAGCATATCATCATCCTTTGGAAGACCCCAAAAGAGGTGTGCCATATTAGAGAAAAGTGCATCCGTAGGAAAGGACTGTAGTGGCGTTGGGATAGGGGATAGAGCCCAGGCCTGGCGGGCTGGTGGGCATTCAAACAACATATGTTACATACAAATTTTTGTAACAATATTTAGTCACAATATCTCTTTTTTCTTGTAGTGAAAAGGATATGAGGGAGCATCTTATGGCCAGAAGGATATGAGATTCATATCTCAAATCTCCACATTTCTCGCAATGACAGATAGGTTTAAGGCTATATTACAGAGAGTAGTCAACTCAGGCAATAATGGTTCAATTCACAGTGATAGACAGAGGGGATTGATGATAGGATTTTAGGTGGATGAAACATGATATGAATAAAGATGAATGGTATGGTGCAATCACAATCAATCAATTCCTCTTAACCATCATAGTCATTGAAGTATAAGAGGTTATCAATCCAAAATGGGAAACTTGTCACTCTTTGAGAATATGAAACAACCAGGAAGTCAAGCAAGCAGTTAAAGATTTGAAGTAACACTAACAACCTAAAAAAATGAAAAGCAGTGCAATAAAAGTAAACAAAGCAGTGAAGTGTCAGCTCGACCAAGAGCTCGAGTCGAGTAGAGCAAAGTACCAGCTCGATCGAGTTTAGGGACGAGTTGAGACAAACAAAGCTAAAGGTGACGACTTTAACAAGATAAAGAGAGAATTAGGGTTCAAGACAGGGTTTTGCAATCAAAGGAATCTACACTTAATCAATCTAGCTCTTAAAACTCCTTGTATCAAGGCTTCTCTTGATATTGGGCTTCTCAATGCCTAGCCAACCCTTTCCCAAGGTGGAGGCTATCAACCAAGGAATGATCTCAGAAACAGGGGGTTAGCCAGTGAGAATCAAACCTTGGAGGCTATAGGATCATTGCCCAAACTAATCCATCCAACCCCTTAGACCTCTATTGTCTAGAGCAAGAGATATTGGAGCTCTTAGTGGATCTTTTCCAGCGAATGCCATCACTTTCGTGTGGGGAGTCGCCTAAGGACTTACAAGCCAGGGGTAGTGGTCATGTAGCCTTAAGATCTATCCAAAAGAGAGAGAATCTAGATTAAGACCATAAGCTAGAAGGATTAAGCATATGAAACCTCTAATCTATCCCATCTCAAACCCAATGGGTAACTACTCACTACACATGAATGTAAACACAAGCAAATGCAATAAAAGAGACATCATAAGAAAGAGGAGATGAAATTAAACAACTTTTATTGAAATAAGCAAGTGCAAATACAAGAGAGATTATCCAGGATCTAAGGATTCAAGAAGCAAGAGCTTCAAGAACACAAAGATGGGATTAGATCTCTAAAAAGTAAAAGACAATAAATTAAAAGAAACTAAAACAAAAGTAATCTAAAGCTTGGTGGTTTTTTCGTGGCTTAGAGCCTTTAAATACAAGAGGATTAGGTTTAGGGTCAAAGGAAAGTCAAGGGGGAAGCAACATTTTTCGGGTTTGACTTTGACTTCTCAGCTCGATCGAGTTGAAGCTTGGCCGGTCGAGTTGAGGAACTCGACCGGTTGGTCGAGTAGACGGTCGAGCTGGTCTTCAAGATGGCTTCTCCCTTCTTCCTTTGCGTATCCAGTTGAGCTGCTTCCATGTGCCAAGTCCCTCCATGCTCCTTCATGTCCCATATGCTCCAGAATGCTCCAAAAGACCTATTTCAAAGGACCAAACATGCATATGTATGCAAATGCAACCTAAAACTAACATGAATGCATAAGAAGAGAAAAGGAACAAGATATGATGCAAATGGAAGCTAAAACTATGCAAAAGATGCATAAAAGATGTGCTAAAACTATGTAAAATGCAAGTACATCAACACCCCCAAACTTGAACTTTGCTTGCCCTCAAGCAAACAAATAGAACAAGAAAGAGATGAGGTTTGAAAAAAGCTGATTCAACACTTAAAAACATGTCCTCAAAAGCGATTTGCTAAATGTCCAACTTAGAGATTCTAGAATGCAACAAGGTGAGAGATATTCATTAAGATTTAACCATGCTTATCAACATCAATCCCACTTCACAGTCACTCAAACAATGCATTCAAATCAGCAAATCCCTTTAACATTCATTAAGCAAAAACAGTGAACCAAAAACATGCAAGATCAATCAACTCATTTGGTTTCAAGGGTTTATGGGTTAAGAGACAAAGAGGGTCTCTTTTGTATGGTGGTTTAGTAACAGGGATCTCTCAAGAAAGTGGCTTTGCTTTGGCAGAAGGCTAAGTGTTAGAACCAAAGATGATGCAAGAACAGCAGCTCGAGCCGCCTAATCCTAACTCGATCGAGTTCAACACTTAGAGCTTTTTAGAACAAAATCCTAACTACCCTTTTTGGCATTTCGCCTTTGAAACTGAGGAGCTTTGCTCACTTTTCTTTTAAGAACTTCCTAGGGAGAGGCTTCTTGAGGTAACATCTAGCGGTTTGGGATTTTCTAAACACTTAGGGAACTTTTCTTTCCTTTTTGGACACTTGAGGCTTTGCCTTCTTTTCATTCTACTTAGAACCCTTTTTACTTTCCTTTTTTAACTTCCCAAACCTTTACTAGACCCTTTTAAACACTGCCAACTCCCTGGACTTAACCAAACTCTTTTTCCTTTGGGTTTTTCCCAACTTTTACCACTTTTCTGGTTTTTACACCCAACTCGATCGAGCTCGAGTTGGCACCCCCAAACTTAGCCTGAAAACAATCCCAAGAGAACTAGACAACTAGAACTACTGCCCCTGCCGGTTTAAACACAACACCTTATGCTAAGCAAAGCCAAGAAAGGTTCTCACATTCGCACAAGAGATAAAATGGGGTTTGAAATGAAAAAGGCTTAGGTTTAAGGTGTGGTAACTGTCTCAAAGATGGAGATCAGCTATCTGGACAAGCAAAAGGGATATGAAAATAGGTAAAGAATGTCCAGATATGTATGTGGTAGCCATGAGTTGAAATCAAATGCAAGCATTGGTAATTAAAGATCAAGTTATGGTTCAAATAGATAGGGAAATGCATCAAATCACAGCAATGGTTGAATGAGATGTGCATGCAGTGATATGATCAAGATAAACATGGTTCTTGCTGCTCAATCAATCTCACCCTAATGCACAAAAGAATCTAAAAACAGGGCACTCAAGAAATCGCAAAAGATGGACAAGTTTTCAAAGTCAAATCAACAATGCAAGTGAAAAATGCAATCCTAAACAAGTCTAACAAATATGAATGCAAAAAGATGAAAATATTTTTGGATTTTTTGAAAATTTTATGATTTTTTTGGTTTTTCTATGCAAAAGATAAATGAAAAACTAAGAACAAAGAAAACAAGGTTAAATCATCTCTTGAACCCTCCCCCAAACTTAAATCACACAGTCCCTTGTGTGAGAAAAATTTAGTGAAAGATTCAAGAGGGCAAAACCAAGAAAAAACAAGAACAAATGCAAGAAAATATGAAATGGTATATACAAGGGTTGGTGTTTGGATACCTCAGTGCCCCCCAAAGAACTGGGAGGCTAGGTCGTGGTCTGGAGATGGTAGACGGCCATCAGGACGCTCCACTCGACTGGGTTCGGCTCACTCGATCGAGCTTGTGGCTCCTCTTCCTTCTCTTCTTCATCTTGAAATGTGTGTGGCTCCTTGGCCTTGGTGGAGCTGGCTTGCTCGAAGCGGTTGTAGGGAGTCCAGGTCTGAGAGAAGTCCTGGTACTGCGTTGGATCGTACTCGAATCCAGGGTTCTCAAACAGGGGCTCCTCCAGGTCAACTCGACCCTCAGCTCGATCGAGTTGAGTTTCCTCTGTTTGGACTCGATCGAGTCCGGTGGTCGAGCTGGAGCGTCTGGCCTTGGAGCTCTTCCTCCTTCTCTGCGAGTTGTCTTCCCTTCCCTTGGCTCAAATGAAGAGGCTCTGTGAGGCTTTGGGCAGAGCCTCCTTGAGTGGTGAGGAGTGATCTACTCCTAGGGAAAGTGGGGGCCTTGGACTTCTTCTTCTTGCTTGAAGAACCAGAAACTTTCTTCTCCAAACTCTTGATCTTGCTCACCATCTTGTCCATGGACTTTTGCATCTTTTCCATGGCTTTCCCTTGCCACTTGTTGAACCTTTGGAGAAGTCCAATCCTCTTGTGGGCAGCCACAACAGAGGGGTTCATCCTTGGAGCCTCATACTCCTCAAAGTAGTAGCACTCAGGCTCACCCAAATCCGCATTCATGGCGTTGTCTCAACTCGATCCTCAGCTCGATCGAGTTCAGGCTCCTCTTCTCGCAAATCTCTTCATGCCCAACTAAGTGTACACAGGGGGTCTGAAGTCAATGTTGTACCTCCTAGACCGTGGTGAGCTCAGGGTTGGGCAGAAGAAGCTTGGAGGGCCAGCCAAGGGATGAGTGAACTTGAATTGGAACCTCCCATCCAACTCCTTGTGTTCAATGAAGAGGTTGGTCTTGCAAAACTTGATGTCCATCCACCTGCTGGAGTAGACCTTCTCTTGTCCAAATGGACTCCAGCTGCACAGGATAGGTGTGATGACCCTCCAACACTAAGCTTCCTTCCCTTTTGAAACCGAGTGCTATAGGCGGTGTCTTGTAGGAGAGAGCTGGTCAATGAGAGGCATGAGGTTCCCTGCATGGATCTATCTCCCCTGATCTTCTCCCATCCTTGTGCGTGAGATGATGGGCTTGATTCCCATGTCAAGGAGCTTCACTTCTCCCTCATTGATTGTCCCAGTGCCTTCCTTGCAAAGAAGGTGTTGGCAAGAGCCTTGTGCACATATCTCAACACTGGGCTCCTGATTTGAGCAGCCTTAGACCTTGAGGAAGAGTATCCCATCAGCGATTGTAGCCCAAACCCTTTGGAGCTCATCTCCTTGATTCCCAATGGTTCCCTCTCCATAGTGAACCCAAAAGATCTCCAACTGCCTAAAGGTCACCTTCCTTTCTCCCTTGCCAAGAACGTGATCCATCCCCAACCTTGGTCCAACTCAGCTCGATCGAGCTCTGTACTTGTGGAACCTCATTGATGCCAAGAACTCACAAGTGAGCTCCTTGTAGACTCCAGCGGTAAGAGAAGAACTTGGCCAAGCGCATGTTCTTGAGACCAGCTCCACATCCTCAAAGATCCCAAGGCCTTCATTGTGTCATCATGTGGGTACTTGGTCTCCACAAAGTCCATGGAGAAGAGAGCATCATAGTGCTCTTGGTACATGGGGAGCTCATCCTCTTCTTCCTCTGACTCCTCCTCTTCCATGGGCACATTCTCATTGCTCTCATGCTCACTTCTCCTCAATCTCTTGATTGACCTCTTCCCCTCTTCTTCACTTGGGAGACTCATCATTCTCCTCATTGGGATGTTCACTCCAATTTCAAACTCTCCTACTTCGCTCTCACTGCTGATGGGATCATTCCTCTTCTTGGTTCTCCTCTCTTCCCTTCTCCTTCAGACGCTCCTCAGAGAGGCATCTCTTTCATCTGCTGGTTCTCTCTTCCTTGATCTCACATATTCCAATCCTCATCTATGGCATCCTTTCTCTCATTCTTCTTGCCTTCTCTGCCCTTTGCTTTCTGAAGCTGCTTGGCTTCCTTCACCTCTCAACATCTTGAACTTGTTGCTTCTTGAAGTTGGGTTCCTGAAATGCATCAAAAACTCAAAGAATTAGAGTTGCAATGTTGGTTCGGTCAACTCGACACTCAGCTCGATCGAGTCAAAAAACTCGAGTGACAAACTCGATCGAGCTAGGTGAAAACAGAGTATAACCGAACCTAATTCAAGTATTAAGAGCTGGAAAGGATGCTAATCAATCAAATTGAACCAAGAACACAAGTAAATGGAACAAAGAGCAATTCTAGTGAAAACCTAAGCATCTTAACCAATACCAAACTCAAATTCAATTTTCAAGCACATGCAACAAGTTCTAATGGTAAAACAGAGGTGAGGTGAGGCAAATTCACAAGATTATCAAATATGAAGAAAAAGAAAGCAATTACTCAAGGCAAGTCCTCAAGGGACACATGCAATCAAAAATCAAGAGAAACAAGCAATAGGAAATCGAGATGAAGAATCAAGGGTTTCAAGTGTTCATACCTTGCTTGGATGATGGATCACAGAAACAAGAACTAAGCAAAAACAAAGGCACAAGAGAAATCGCAAAAACTTAGAGAGAAAGAGAGAAATCGAATTTTTCTTGTGGTGAAGAGAGAGAGAGATGATTTCAGAAAGTTTAAGATTGTGGGAGAGAGAGAGGTGGATTCGATCGAGTTATGGGGAAGAGGGGTGTTTGAGATGTGTGGTTGAGATTAAAAGTGAAATAAAGAGGGAACAAAAACTAGGGTTTTTCTGATCAATTAGGGAAGTGGGGGACCAAAATTAACTTGTGGGACCCACTCCCTTGACCAAGAAAACGGTTATGAATTTGAAATTCAAAAACTTACCTTGGTCGAGTTGTGAACTCGATCGAGTTGCCCTGGTTTCTAGCTCGATCGAGCTGTCGGTCGAGCTGGCTCCTTTGACACCTAAACTTAACTTATTGAAAGGTTAAAACATAAAATAGATAGAAATTGCATAAATAGAATATGTACAAGGATAAACATGGGACTTCCTCCCAAGTGAGCTTGTTTAAGGTCCCATAGCTTGACCTTTACCTTCTTAGGCATTGGTTGAGCTAGTCCCACCATCAAGGGTGATAGTGAGGACTTGAGACAGAAGCTCCTTTAGCTTGGTTGGGTCCCTGGACTGTTCTGAAGTCACCAAGGCTTGGCTCTAGAGAATGGCCTTGATCTCCCCTTGTACCTTATCTTGTACTCAATCTTCCCATTTTCAAACTTGGTGGGGAACAAAGTCATTGTGAGCTGAGATGGCTTGATGAAGGGGCCTGAGCTGGTGGATCCTTTCTTTTATCCCTGGTCTTGCCTTAGAGGCTACATCCTCCCCTTCTTTTAGAGCCCTTCCTAGTGGCTCATCAAACAAAGCTTGAAGGCTCTCTTCATCAAGCACACAAGGGGCTTGAACAAGTCTATCAGCTCTTGGCCTATCAGAACGTGGTTTCTCAACTCTAGCCCTCTCAAGACGTGGCTTCTCAATCCTTGGTCCTCTCTCATCCTTATCCTTCCCAACTCTTGGTTCCTTGTCAACCCTTTCCTTCACAACCTTTGTAGCTCCATGACTCTTAGAACTGAGAGTGGTACTGTCAATTGTGGCACAAAAGTCTGAACCTCTAGGCTGCAAGCGATATGACACCAAACTATTCACCTTGTGAAGGATCACTTCTTGCTTGTGAAAGTCTATTGAAGCGCCAACTGTACTAAGGAAAGGGGTTCCCAATAACAGAGGCAAATCCTTCTCTTCTTCCATTTCCATCACAGTGAGATCAGTTTGGATGATGCATTCTCCAATTTTCAAGTGATAGTTCTTGAACACTCCAAGAGGAGACTTAGAAGTTGCATCTCCAAACATGATTGAAGTAGTAGGGCGCTGCAAGGCTCCAGCAATGCCTAGCTTCTCTGCCATGGAGAGAGAGATCAGATTGATGCTTGCTCCAGAATCCACTAAGGCATTGTCAATCTCAAGATGCCCAAGTGTGCAAGGGAGAGTGAATTTCCCTTGATCCTTGACCTTTGGTAGGAA